ACACACACACACACACACACACACACACACACACACACACACACACAGGGTCTTCAAGAATAAATAAGAGAAGTATTTTACTGAGGGTAAAGGGCTGACAGCTGTCTTAGGTACACACCTGGAATTGAGTAGCTACAGCTGCCGATGGAGAGCCCACACCCACGTGGATGCCCGTGTCATCATTATACACAAAGGAACTTGATGGCAGGGGTATCATCTCATGTAGCCCAGGCCATCTTTGAACCCAGCTAGACCTTTTATAGGAAAGTTTGTGCCAGGCAAGCCTTGTCTGTGTTTCAGCTGGGCTCAGGGCCTTTCTCATCCTGCCTGCCTGTGTGCCTCTTGGCAGCCCAGGAGAGAATGGTAATAGTCTCGGTCTGTAGTTCGTAGAGGTGGATTGGCACCAGCAGGGTCCCTGGGGCAAGCTGGCCCATCAGGTGCAACTTTGGGGCTGACCCACTTGGAGCCTTTTGAACCAGGGTCTCCCTGCCTCAGTCTGCTCCTTCTTCCTGCCTCTGCTTCCTTGATCTGGTCTCTCAGACTTCTCGCCAAGTCCAGTACACGTGTCTGCATCTGCTCCCCACGTTCCTCAGACTCACAAAGCCGTAGTCATACCCGTATCCCTGTTACCCCAACCACTTGGTGGCCACAGGGTCCAATGCAGACCGGCTGAGGCTTTCTCTCCCTGGACCTTCCAGTGGCCTGCCCTTCTTCCTCATCTGCTTTTACCTGCTTGCTATCTCTGTCCATACTGTCAGGGAGCCGGGACCCACGAAAACAGGCCGTGGTGTACAGCCTGCTCTGGCTCTTGAGCCGTGGCCAAAGCTGCAGTGTTAGGCTTGCAATTGACCCTGTTGTTTGAATTAAGCCCAGGAACTGTCTGTACGCCTTTGTGGAATGTGATTTCTCTCTGCGTTTCCAGGGTTTTAAAAAGTATTGTAAGGAACTGTGTTCACTGGGGTTGCTCGTAGCTGTGCTGAAACCCACGGCCACGAATGGTGACCTTGTCCTTCTGTCTGTGCAGGGGAGCAAAGGAGACCTTGGGCCTGTCGGTGTACCTGGAAAGACTGGCTTGGCTGGACCCAGTGGGCCAGCTGGACCTCCAGGACCCCCAGGACCACCAGGGCCCCCAGGACCACCAGGACCAGGATTTGCTGCTGGATTTGTGAGTCTGGGTCACTGTGGTTCCCAGAAAGCTTGAACTATAGCCCACAGCTGCCTTACTTCTAGACATCTCACAGCCTGAGCAGAACTGTCTAGGCAGGGCCTCACCTCAACCATGTGAGTTCCCCTGTCCCTGTCTTTGGGCCCCCACTTCTGAGCCCTGAGTGCCTAGAGGGCTTAGTCCAGTGTTCATTTAGCCTCAGTGTATTCAAAGGACCAGTGTTTAGGCTCAGGTGTCCCAGTGTCTGTGGCTGCTGTCCCCAGCTCTTCCATCCTTAGCTGCTGAATATCTGTTTATGTACCCAGGTACAATTTCTCTTGCACACACGCAGACCAGAGCCCTGTGACTGAGCGCGATGCCTACCTACCAGGGTTCAATTAACACACACAACCCAAACTCCGTCAATCATCCACTTTACCTCCCCCACCTCCACTTTCCTGTCCACGGGGAAGGCTCCTTCTTAGGATCAGAGACTTAACACCCCTTTTATGTTCCCTTCAGGATGACATGGAAGGCTCTGGAATACCCTTCTGGTCAACAGCCCGAAGCTCCGATGGACCGCAGGTACTGCCCATGAGCTGGGGCAGGAGGGTTCCAGGTCAGGGGTAACCTTGGTACAGAGCCTTATGTAGGGCAAGGTGCCCCCAGCAGCTTGTGGGGGGAGGGTTGAGCCACCGTACCCTTCATCCTAGAACAACCCGATCCCAAACTGTCCCCAGTAAGGGAGAGAGCTGGTGACAGGCCTTCTTATCTGATTTCTTCCATGGCTGCAGGCTGAAGAAGTGACAGATACGGTCTAGGGTAAACTGGAGTTAATGGGGCATTTGGGGGAGTCCCCCTCCCCACGTTTACCTGCTGGCTTGTGTGTAGTTCAGAATAGGTTAGCAAAGAAGAGCTGAAGTCCCAAACACCCCAAATAGCAGGCATATCAAGGCACTTGTGTGCAGCCATGAGCGTACTCTGTGTCCCTGCCCAGGGTATCACCTGTCCCTGAGGCTACTGCCCTTTCCTGAGGAGCAGCAGTATGTCCCAGCCTTGGCCCTGGAGGACACCGGGCTGACTTCCGGCCTCTGGGGCCACCGCAGGCAGACAGATGCTGCAGTGGCAGAGGTTAGCAAGTGCTGTTGCTGTTATTCTTTGTCTTTTTTTTTTTTTTTTTTTTTTTCAGTATACGGTTTTGTTTTTAAAACAATTGCAAATGTAGACAGGCTGTAAGGACAACAGAAAGAGCTCCCGGTGTATCCTCTTAACTGGATACACTGTTGACGTTCGATGGCTGACGTTCAGTTGCCCTGCCCAGCTGAGAGCTTGTGCCATGCCAGCCTCATGCCTCAGTTGTTACTTTTCACTCGAGCCATGAAAGGGCTAATCAACCTAGGATAAAACAGAAGATCCGGGTCACTAACACTTGTTTTCTCTACTCTGACAGGGACCCCCAGGATTGCCAGGACTCAAGGTGAATGAGGGAGGCCTTTCTTGTTGATCTGCCTAGTGAACGAATCCTTATTGAGTTCAGCATAGATGTCTGCAAGATTCAGCAGACATAAAAAAAAAAAAAAAAAAAAAAAAAAAAAGAGTCCTGTGCCCTATTCCCGTGCACTGAGCATCAGCGGGTTCATGCCCTCTCTTTTACACTCCATGAATTGAGATTCCTGGCTTCATACATCTGAAGTGTGATAGAATTTTGAGGAGCCCAGAACCTCTCCCCATACCTATGTTCTCAGCTTCCCTTGTCATCCAGCCCACTGACGTGGCTCCAAGGCGTCCACCTTCCCTCAGGTTTGAGTCAGGCTCCTCAGGGCAGGGGGCAAAGGTGGAGAATGCCGGAATAGCCCCCACCAGGGATTCCCAACTTTTTAACTAGCCTCTGCTGTTGCCCTACTTACTCCTTTAAGAATTTATTTTTTTATTTTTTTGTGACTTACAAAACACTGGACATTTCAAAGGACTGGATTTTCAGATGGGCCTATTGTGTTTTTTGTTTGTTTGTTTTGTTTTTAATGTTAACAAGTCACTTCAGAGGACTTGTTTCTTAGACTGGAGATGGTGGGTCCTGGCTCCAGCTTCTACAATATCAAGAACAAAATACTGTGATGTTAGGATATATTTCATTCATATCTTTCACTAGTGTATCACCCAGGATTCTAAGGCAGCCAGGACACCCTAGGTGATTAGCAGAGGAGAATGTGGCTTGCTCTCGGGGTGGGCCAGCTGACACCCCAAGCTAATAGAGCTCTTTGTCCACTTAGGGGGATCTTGGAATGACAGGGCCACCTGGAGCCAAGGTAGGTACTTTACCCAGGGTTGAGTATATTGTCTGCTGGGGATGGGGAAGGGGCCTGCAGAGACCAGAAAACCATCCTCAGTAGACAAGGGTGTGTCGGGCACATCTCAAAGGCCCAAGACGAGGAGACATGGAGAAGGACCCCTGTGTGGTACTGGCCTCATTCTTCCTCGTGCTTTGATTTCTTTATAGTTTATCAAGCCTGACTCAGAGAAAACTGCCGATGTCAAGTCCCTGCCCCAGGGTACACCCACATACACCTGCACCAATTTGGGGAAAATGAGCTTCCTCCCTTCCCCACCTTCTCTCCCCGCCACCTTCGTCCCTTCTCTTCGTCTTTACTCACTTCCACGCTCCGGGGGTTGAGCCAGTAGCCAGCAGAAACCCAGGCTATGGCCATGGTTGCTGCGGTTCCCTCCCCAAGAATCTCTGCTGCCTGGCTGTGGGGCTGATTCCGGATCTTCCCTTTGTCTGTCCCAGGGAGAAGTCGGTGCAGATGGATCCCAGGGCATGCCTGGTCCCCCAGGAAGAGAGGGTGCAGCTGGGCCCCCGGTGAGTGAGAGGGGGAAGGACCTAAAAGAAGTGACCAGGAAGAGAACTGGCATTCTAGCCCTGGGGGTATCCTGGACATCTGTGTCCCCTACCTGCTACAGTGTGCCTTGTGGAACCAAATGCAAGTCTGGGCAGGGCTGTGGATGCCCGTCTCTATTCTCCCAGGTTCCGGGAAGCACAGAATACTCATCTGCATTGGAAGCCAGGCTCTGGTAGGCTGGTCCCTGAAGGGACTCGGGTTCTGTCTACAATTACCCATTTCCTCTGTCTCTGCAGGGGCCAAAAGGAGAGAAAGGGAGCCAGGGAGAAAAGGTGAGTGTGCCACAGGTACACAAGGGACAGAGTTGGGCTGCCTAGGCCTCAGCGTTGGAATCCCATCATGCCCCAGCCTCATGCCCTGGCTACCCATGTGACATCAGAGAGTTGAGCAGAGAGCCCCAGATCAGCAGGGGTAGCTCTTAGCTGCTGCCTACAAACCCAGTACCTGAGCTATAGGTGGGTTCTGAGGTCCTGGCCAGTAACCAGAATGATTACCTGTCATTCTCTTCCAGGGAAACCCAGGAAAAGATGGAGTGGGGCAGCCAGGCCTCCCTGGACCCCCAGGACCTCCAGGGCCAGTGGTCTATGTGTCAACTGAGGATGTAAGTACAATATGGAATGCTGTAGGGCTCATCCTTTGGTCCAGGTACTGCCCATAGTTGGTCTAACTGTCTCACCCGGACATGAGGGGACCTGACTTTTTAGGAAAAGGCTGTGCTGGCTAGAAGCTCTCTCCTCACCAAAGCTCCTTGGCCTTCTCAGCTGTAAAGGCTACTACTGCTCTTTTGTGATACCTGCAGCAATGCACTCAAGTGGCCTAATCCCAGAGTAATTGGGTCCCTCACAGCCCTACCATAGAACCCAGGGACAAGCTGCTACCCAAGCTCACTTCTCTGAAGCAAGAAGCCTGAGTCTCTGGGTGGGAGAGGCAGGGCACAAGGGAGCTGGGAATGCAGGGGAGAGGCTACCCTGGGCAGAGCTTAGCGTATGACTGGGTTGATAATGGGCTCAAATCCCAGCTGCAATTGTTGCCTCTGATCCTGACTGGTTCCTTCACCTTCTGGGGTCTCGGTACTGTCAGCTCTGAGATGGAGACAGTATATTTGTAGGAGCAAGGCTGTGAATGGTCACAAGAGTGCCTGGCTGAGACTTCTTGTTTCCAGGAATGGAACTGATAAAAGAGGATGGATAGCATTGCAGTAAGGTCTGGGGGAAGGCAGGGTAAAGGGCCCTGGGACCAGGGTAGATCCGAAAGCCATAGCTGACATAGGAAAAGCCTCCAGTAGGTGGCGCTGCTCCCACATCATGAGCCAGAGCATATGCAGCTGGGACACTGTGTACCAGGACTAGAGAGTGACACCAGCCCTGGCTGCTCCAAAGCTGGGGAGGAGGACTCTCCAGGAAATGGGTCATTTGTCACCTGGGCACCTGCAGAGAGAAGCCGGGTATAACTGCTGAAAACACAGTTTTCTTCTAAATTCCATGTTGGACTAGCTTTGCTGAGCTTGTGGCTAATGTGACAGCAGGCGACTTGCAACTCAAAGGCAGCTTTCTTTTTCTTCCCTTCTGATTTTTATTTCCTGATGGCACGGGGACAGAGAGCAGTAGTGACCACGCCAGGACCTGAGGTAAGGGCCAGCTCGCTTCTAAGAAAGTCCAGAGAGGGTCCAGGGGAGCTGGGTTAGAATACCAGTGAGAGCACCGTGTCCCCAAAACTCATGGCACCCTTCTTTCCACAGGGCAAGCCAGGGTATGCAGGTTTTCCCGTAAGTAGCTTTGCTTCAGAGGTGCATGCTTGTCCAGCAATGGGCAGTGAGCTCACACTGGGGGTGAGCGTGGACTCTGCTCTTGCCACACACGGGACTATAGTGTAAGCTTGGATGGGGACAGCCGCTGCCCTGGAGGGCATAGCATGGCGTCCTTGCCACCTGTAGTTGTTGAAGACTCTGAAGGGCTGGCCCATGACCAGGGAGCAACCATGGGGCACAGGATATGGGAGTTATGAGTGAGTTATGAGTCAGGGATTCTCATTCCTATCTGGTCTTCACTGTAGGGACCTGCTGGACCGAAGGGTGATCTGGGTTCCAAAGGCGAGCGAGGTCTTCCAGGGCCTAAGGTAAGGGGCTGGGGTATCTTCTGCTCATTTCTCAGGAATCGGAATACAGCCTTATTGCTGCCCAGACCTGCTACAGACAAGATATGCTATCCTGTCTACCCAGGTGATGGCGGACCCTGAGGGTACCGGGACATGCCATCTGTTACCCTAACTCAGAGTCTGGTCATAACCTCTCCCTTGCTCTGTTTTGGGGAGTAGCTGAGGCCTAATGGCTGAGCCCTGACCTGTCCTTCCTGCCTTGTTATTCCAGGGTGAAAAAGGAGAGCCAGGCGCCTTCTTTAGCCCTGACGGCAGAGCCCTGAGCCACGTCCAGAAAGGAGCCAAGGTGAGAATGAGGTTGGAGTTCCCTAACATTGTGAAAGACAGTGTGGGGGGGGGGTTCCTGACACACAGTCAGGATCATGACACACTCAAACTGCCCCTCAGTGGTGTTCCCAAGCTTTCCTTAGCCTGCATCTGTTACCCTCCCTTTGGCCCCTTGGAATTATCCTGGGTGTATCCTCCCAGCCCCCAAACTGGCCAGTGGCTTGCATTATCCCTTGGCACTGTTGGCTGAGCTCACCTATAGGAAGCTTAGTAATACAGACTATGGCCCATTGTGCTCACTCTTCTGCCTGGCCTTCGCCTATGGGAGATGAAGTGGACCAAGGCTTACTGACCCCATGTACCCCCCTGCCATGTGCAGGCATCCATCTACACTGTACAACTGAGGTATCTAGATCTCCTGTGGACCTGAGCCTACAGGAACCTGCCTGAGCACAAGCCTTTGCTCAGCTGGCCAGGACTTGTTCCTCAGGCTGTATTTTGCCCGCCCCTCTGCTCTCAGAGGCTCTTCAGCTAAGTAAGGCCTAAGTGACCATGGCTATCTGCCCAGGAACCCAGGGTACATCCATCTGTCCATCTGTGCCTCACTCAAACCAGACCTAGTCCCCAAGGTTGGCATCTGTCCTGTCCCCCTGGGATGGTCAGCAGCCTTGGTTGCGAGCCTCACTCATCTAGAAGGTAGTGGGTGAGGTTAACCATAGTGCCCTGACATACCTCTGATTCTTTGCTCAGGGAGAGCCAGGCTTCCGAGGACCCCCGGTGAGTAGTGCTCTTCTGTTACACTGAGGTCATGGCCCATGGTTTGTGGCAACTGCAGCATTGAAACACATGGGGGGTCAGCCGGGTGGTGGTGGTGCACGCCTTTAATCCCAGCATTCGGGAGGCAGAGGCAGGTGGATTTCAGTGAGTAAATGGCCAGCCTGGTCTGCAGAGCGAGTTCCAGGACAGCCAAGGCTACACAGAGAAACCAAAACACAACAACAACACCATGGTTGCGCCAGGTGGCAACAGGCAGTTCCTCCAAGATGGCAGCCTTGGTCCTTTCCTGGGGTGGCCCCACCCTCTTTACTAGGAGGCTCCACCTACCTTTCAACTCATCATTTTTTTTTTCTTTAGGGTCCTTATGGGCGACCTGGACACAAGGGAGAAATCGGCTTCCCCGGACGGCCGGTGAGGATTTGGTGGCCTTAAAAGTGGGTGGGGAGCACCTGGGGCCTTGGAGAAAATGGACAGCTGCCCCTCCTGCCCTTCCCCAAGGTGCAGCTATCACACCTACATGACCCATGTCTTAATATGTATCAGAGATGTACCTGGCTAAGAGTACACTTCGTCTGCCAGCCCATAGGGGTCCATGGGCAAAGAGGGGGTTCTGACCTGGGTCCTAGCTTCTGGGCAAGAGCTGCCTTGGGTTGGACTGTGCGGGCTTGAGCATGGGAAGGATGGGGCTGTGAATAGGCTGTCCGTTGTCTAACACACCCTGCCACTCTATTCTGCCCAGGGTCGTCCTGGAACTAATGGATTAAAGGGAGAGAAAGGGGAGCCTGGAGATGCCAGCCTCGGGTTCAGCATGAGAGTAAGTGTCCTGTACTGGTGAATGGGTGGCATGGAACACCAAGGAAGAGGAATGGCTAGGCCAGGGCCCCTCGGCTCACCTGTCAAGCCGTTTCCGATGGCGGGTGACGTGACCAGGCGTGTCAATCCTGACACACTCACATAAATACTCACATATATGTGTGTGCATACTCAACTACATACACATGCATAAGCATATCTGCATATTCTTATACCCAGAACCTAATGGGGCTTTAGGGCATCCCTTCTGGATCCATCAACTTTGTCTCATGGCATCGCTTGCCTCTTTTTACTGAAGGCAGCCCCCCGGAGACCCAGGGACTCCCCAGAATGGTCTTGCCTGTGACTCCTGCATCCCACCTGCTTTGCCCAGGGCAGAGATGAGCATGGGAATCCAGATATAAGCACTTCAGAGAGTTCATACTCCTGATGGTCATTGCTGCTGCTGGTTTCTTGTCAGCTGCCTCCTCTGTGGGCTAGCACCTACTAATGCCATGTAAAATCAAGAGCTAACCGGGGTGTTTGCGGAGCAGAGCTTCAGGACTGGCACAGTCACAGGCCAATCAAATCCATCCCAGTGGGGAAGGAATGGCTCTTGGATTTTAACCTCGGTTATGATTTTTAAAATCAGATTAAATACTGTTTTCCTTTCGAGGAATATATATCCCTTAATCTGAGGTGCCAGCTAATACACAGATACCAGCCCCTTCCCAACCCTACCCCCACTCCCTGCCACACACACACACCACACACACACACACACACACACACACACACACACACACACACGGGAGGGCAGGCCATGGGAGGTGCCCTAGGAAGAGGAAGAAGCCCTTCTCATGCCTTACCTGGGTCCTCAAGGCTTTCACAGAGGCAGCTCATGGCTGTCAGAACTTGGGCCAGGCTGTTCGTTTCTTTGAATAAGTGAAAATGCGACCTAGCCTCAGGTTTGCAGCCAGTGATCTCAGGAGGAGCATGACTATCTGTACAGCAGCTATTCACAGCTTATGTGGCCCTGTGTGGCTCAAGAGCCCCCTGGGCAGGAAACAGGCAGGCCCAGTTGGCAGGCACATGGGCCAGAGTCAGAAATGCATTGTTGGCTTTTACATCACCAGACATATTCAGCTTTCTGATTCAACTGCTTTTCAGCCCATGTCTGCTTCCCTAGCTTACACTGTTAGCTCAGCTGTGACCTTAGCTAACCAGAGCTTTCTGTCCCTTCACAGGGAATGCCTGGCCCCCCTGGGCCTCCGGGACCCCCCGGCCCTCCTGGGATGCCCATCTATGACAGCAATGTAAGTGGTCAGAGCCTCATGCTGTACAGGCTTCTCTCTCGTCAGTGGCTTCGGGATCCTTTCTGGGTGTCTCTGGGAGGGGTCTGTCGGGGAAGCTATTCCTGGGACCAGTGGGTGAGTAGTAAGTTCACACTGGAGTAGCTCTGGGGCTTGGAGAAAACCTCAAGCTGGAATGACTCAGGTCCCTGACCCCAGGTGCTGGGGGCATTTCAGTTTTACTAGACTTAGCAAGGGAAGAGGTGACCTATGAGGGCAGGTCACTGTGACTAGGATTCTTGATACAGACCCTGTCTCCCACCTCCACCCCTTCAGAGCTCCAAACAGTGCTGGTTTGGCTCTGGGGAGGGGCCCTGGGACTTCTTGCCTTGGGAACCCTGGTAGTCTTGCTTTCTAGAGCACTGTCCCTCAGCACACACTCCCCCCGCCCCCATGCTTGTTCTTTGTAGGCATTTGTGGAGTCTGGCCGACCTGGACTGCCAGGACAGCAAGGTGAGAGCTCAGGGCTCACAGCACATGCAGAGGTTTGGGGCTCCGGTAGGAAGATGGCAGCGGGGTATGGTAACATCAAACCGGCTAGGAAAAATGAAGGTGTGAGACTCTGCTAGCTCTGGGTATCTTGTTCCTGAGTACCTCTTCCCTAGGTCCATGCCTGCAACTGTACCCTACCCCTAAGGTCACACACCTCTGGTGTGGCTGTCCGAGGGGGCCTGACTGGAAGCATTGGTGCTGGTGCTGGGGACTACCACCCAAGATTTCTCAAAGCAGATGCAGGAAGAGCCCCACCCACCTTTGCTCCTCATGAGCTCTGATTCTGTCTATGCTCCCCCTCCCCTTTCCATCTGCAGCCTTTCTGGCCTAAGCCCACCCTGTGCACACCAGTGCCAGGACTGGGGACATTAGTGGGAGGGGCTTTCCCTGACAGCCTTGGGGTCTCTTCCTCCAGGTGCGCAGGGGCCTTCAGGACCAAAGGGTGACAAAGGAGATGTGGGCCCACCTGGGCCACCAGGTGAGAATGCTCTTCACTGTCCAGGCTGAGGGTTGTTGCCTGTAGCCGGCTCCGGAGTTAGGCACCAGAGCCCTCGAGGTGCTGACCGCCCACTATACCATGGTTGCTGCCCAGCCAACCGTTTGGAGAGACAGTGTTTTCTCAGCTCACAAGTCCTGATAAGACTTGGATCTAGGGACATTAGCCATCCTTTCAGCTTGGGGGGCCAGGGCCTGGGAGGGCGAAGGGAAGAACAGCTTAATGGGATGTCCCCATCACCCCAGTCACTGATAGACACCAGTGGGGCTGTTCTTCCCAGTGAGCAGTGAGCGGCCCCTGCCAGCTCCCATGTTGGTCTGACCCACCTCCACCCAGGCCATCTGGGAAAGCAAGATAAAAGTTTAGAAGCTGTCTGTGAGACAGAGGAAGGACCAGCAGGATAGAGAGCTGAGGCCTCTCCCTAGACCACAAAAGCATCAGTGTGTATATGTGTTAGTGGGGTCCCTGCTCATTGTCGCCCAGGCCTGCCGAAGTAAGAGCAAACACCAGCCCCAGGTTCTGCCTGCCAGCAGCACTCAAGAGTGTGTGGCATTACAAGGAAGACACAGGCACTTGAACAGAGAACCAGTCAGAGATGGAGAGAGAAGACCTGGTTCCTAGCCTGGTAACCACTTCCTCCTGGGAAGTGGTTACCAGGCTAGGAACAAGTCTTAGAGAATACCATATCCCGGAGCTAAAAGGAAAGAGAATCATCTCAGACAGTAGAGGGCAGACTGGATAAATCCTGGGACACGGGCGTTCAGAGTACTAGGGGACACCACAGCCCCAGGAACAGCAAGTGTAAGCTGCGAGAGGCCAGCTCAGCACCTAACCAGTGGAAGCACAGAAAGATAGCAGAGGGCAGACTCAGCGATATTCTAGCATGCTTGTCGCTGGAGAACCAAACAGAAACAGCAGTTGAGAGCAAAACGGCCCAGAGTTTCCAAAGCTAAGGGAAGATTTCCAGTGCTTCCTATAGTCAAAAGATGCACAAGAAAACTGGCAGAAGTGAAGAAAACTGGAAGTCCACGAGTGTTTCAGGATGTTTCACATCAGAATTCACACAGGATCCTGCAGGCACAGAGGGTGGCCTAAGTGGCAGAGGGCCTGGTGTGCAGTGTGAGCCTCCTGGGAGAGACAAGCAGTCCCAGAAAGGGCGGGGAGGTAGGCAATAGCCGATCAACACGGCAGGAAGAGTGCAGGCTGCAGGGACACAGGCCCAGACTCTCTGGAGCACAGTCTGTTTCTGATGTTTGGCTGAGGTCAAGGGTTTAGATGAACTCGAAAGAAAGCTGAAACCAAGAATGTGCAGCTGGATGCCTGATGGACAGATAAATGATACACAAAAATATGGAAGAAGGCTTGACGCAAATCAAGACGAGGAGGGAGAAGGAACACAGAGCAGGGATACATAGGAAATGGAGAACACACTAAATTTAAACACAGGTTTTCAGCAGCTGAGCATGGGTGCTTCTGTTGGCTATTGGGATGGGAGTGGACTGGCTGCCCAGAGAGACGTAAGAGAGATCCCTTTCTTAGGACAGGGGTAAGCTAGGGGATGGAGATGGAGGGAATTGTCTGGAGAGAAGGGACCAGCAATGGCCAGCAGGGTGTGCATGTATCTCTGCGTCTGTGACCAAGTGCATCTTAGGAAATGTCGCTGGGAATAGAAAAGCCCTCACCTTGCTGAAAGTCAATCTGCCAGGACGATCCAGTAACTGAACCCGAGCGCCTACGATAGCAGAGCCTCGGGAGCTAGAGGAAAGCTGACAGAAGTAAAAAGAAAACTCTGCTGTCATCTGAGAAATTTAACCTGGAGACAGAAGGGCTCCGCAGCCACCGATGCTTGTCTGCCTCATCTCTGGCCACGTGCCAGCCACGAGACCACTTCCTGCAGGCAGAAGCAGGTTCTGCAGGTTTAGGGGGATGGCAGGCTTGTGAGAGTGGAAGTCCTTGCACTGGGGGACCACCCCAGCAGCAGCGCTGGTCCAGGCAGCTCGTATATCAAAGAAGCAAAAGAGCCTGAGGAAGCGTGGGATGGTGAGGGTAGCAGAGCATCTCCTAGAAGCCCGAATAGCTGGGTCCCTCTAAGCCTGCACTGGGCTGGGTCACCCTTGCTTATAGGCCACGGGGTCACATAGACCATGGCCCAGTTCTATAGAGGTTCTAGGACAGGGGCTGGAGCTTAGGTCCTACTAGGGATCACTGTCACCTTCAATCCCAGGTGATACATCTGCAAGGTGGCTGGGCCATGGGGGCCACGGAGTCAGTGCTCAGGACCATCTCGCATAACAGCAAAGGGCCTCCAAGCACAGTCATTCCACAAGGCAGGGGCTTCCAGGAGGACGGCCACAGGAAAAAGTGACCCAAGCAGGGTTGCTATCCCTGAAAAAACGGGTTAACCCTTTGTTCACAAAATTACAGCTTCCAGTGGACTTTCTGTGCCTCCAGCCCATGGTACCAGAAAGCAAACATCACATTTGATGAAAATAGGAAGGCACTCTAGGGACAGAGATAAATGAAGTTATGTTTTATTTATGTATGAAATAACAAAGATCAAAAGAGAGAGAGAGAGAGAGAGAGAGAGAGAGAGAGAAAAGCCCAAAGATCAAGTTCATTCTTTGAAGATGCCAAAACATCTCCCCACCTCTGTAAACTGACAGAAACATCAAGGGAATGGCTCAGAGGAGGGGCCCCGGGCCTTGCTGAGCTATGCCTGATGGGAACAGGCTTCTTGAAGCAAGGGGCTTAGGGGACGAAGCCAACTTACACAGATATCAAGTCTTTAACGCACCTCTTGCCCCCCCCCCCAGAAGGATCTGTGGGGTGACTGTCAGAACGAGTGAGCGAGTCTCTCCAGGCCACTGGATAGAGAGCAATCAGAAAAGCCAAAGGCCAGTCATAAACATTTACAAAGGCAACTCTGAAAAAACAAAATGACCAAAACGTTAAAACAAAACAAAACCCTTTAGCCAGGAGTTAGTTTAAGAAAATGTATGATCCTTACATGAATCAATAAAGGCAGGCGGGGTAGGGGAGGGGAGTAAAAAATGTATAGTCAATACTGTCTGTACACACCCCCCCAACCGACCTTCCTGTTCTGCAGGCCAGTTCCCCGTTGACCTCTTCCACCTGGGAGCTGAATTGAAGGTGCGTGAGGTTGTTGGTCAAGTTGGGGGAAAGTGGATGTCCCAAAGAGGTAGCCAGTGCCTTTGTCCCTGGCGACAAGTGTCTAATGACATTCAGCCAAGCCACGTTTTTGGTTTTTTTGTTTTTGTTTTTGTTTTCCTTCTGGTTCCATGAGGAACTCCAGCCTTGTGGTAGTGTCCTTCCCTCTGGACACTCACTGCCCTTGACTGTGCGGGTGGAGCTGATAGAACAGGAGGTGGGGGCTGAGCTGGATCTGGGAGGGCAAGCCCTGGGGGCCAAGGACATGCCTGTGACTTGTATCATCCCCACCTGGCTCAGATAACCATTTCCACCTGTAGGGAGACAAGGGGGACCGAGGGGACGCCGGACAGAAAGGAGAGCGGGGAGAACCTGGCGCTGCCGGTGGTGGATTCTTCAGCTCAAGTGTACCTGGCCCTCCAGGGCCCCCTGGCCCCCCTGGTTACCCCGGGATTCCGGTAAGCCTGAGCCGCAGGCCTCCTGCAGGTGTCCCACACGCTGTGGGCTTGAGCATGGTCAGGTGACACAGTATGGCTGGTTGTATACCTCGAAAGACTCAGACCAAACCCTGCAAGCTCAAGCTGCCTGAGACTTTTTATTGGCTCCCCTGTGGGCAATGAAGCTGGATGGGCACACGGGCCAGGGTAGCCTCATTTGGGCCTTGTGACTGCTCTCCTGCTGCTACCATCTACCCTGGTCCTCTAGCTTTGAGCAGCGCTGAGCAGATTTCAGGGTTGTAGCATCACATCTGTCCTGAGGACTCAAGGGAACCAGGGCCTAGCTTCTGCTTGGAACACTGGGAGGCCCTGGGGCTGTTCCTCTGTCCTGGGAACACCTTCGCAGCCTTAAGGGGCCCAGGGTTAGACAGGTCTGCACAGGGCTCATAGGCTACTACTTCCGCCTCTGGGGCTATGAGCAGATAAGTCCCAGCCTAGGGCATGGAGGGGTTCATGAGGGGATTCCTTGTGCCTAGGGTCTGAAGGGAGAGAGCATCCGGGGCCCACCAGGCCCTCCTGGCCCTCAGGGACCTCCTGGAATTGGCTATGAGGGGCGCCAGGGCCCCCCAGGACCCCCAGGACCTCCAGGACCCCCCTCATTCCCTGGCCCTCATAGACAGAGTAAGTATGTGGAGAAGGGTGAATGGGCTTGGGTCCCTAAGGGCTGCTCATATGGCCAGGAGTTCTCAGCTTGATCTCTGTCATAGCTGTCAGTGTTCCTGGTCCTCCGGGCCCACCTGGCCCCCCAGGACCCCCTGGAGCCATGGGCGCGTCTGCTGGGGTAAGTATCCAGTTGGCCAAGGTCTGAGAATCTGGAGGAGGGGTGGGGAGGCAGATGGCATGCCAGAAAGCCCTTGACATCAGTCCACTGGGGGCAGAGACCAGAGTCTGTGGGAACATGGGGTCCCCAAGATGCTCACTTCTTCAACCTCCAGTCCTCCCTCTTGGGGACAGCCTGAAGGTTGCCTACTCGGGGCCATCCTCTGACCTCACAAATCCCGGGGTCTCTGAGGATCTCTGGACAGTAGGTCGCACACTGGGCTTGGGTTGGGGTTCCAGCAGGTGAGGATCTGGGCCACCTACCAGACCATGCTGGACAAGGTGCGTGAGGTGCCCGAGGGCTGGCTCATCTTTGTGGCCGAGAGGGAAGAGCTCTACGTACGCGTCAGAAATGGCTTCCGGAAGGTGCTGGTGAGTTCTCAGGGACCCTCCCTCTAATATCCACACCAAGGGGGGGGGGCGAGGATTTCTAGTATTGTGTTCCTCTGCACGTTTAGGGTTAGCAGTAAATGAATGTTCATTACCTACTTTCATTGATTGTTGCTGAGACCAAACACCCAACAAGAGGTGCCTCAAGGGAACGTGGGGTTTACTAACCTTGGTTCATAGTTTGGGGTACAGTCCGTTGCAGTGAGGAAGGCATAGCTGCAGGAATGCCAGGCAACCGGTGACATCGCCCCCGTTGTCAGGAAGCAGCAAGCAGACAGGAAGTGGGGCTGGGCTCTAAGGTCTAAGACCTACTTCCTCCAGCGAGTCTCTACCTCCCAAGGCACCACAACCTTTCCAAATGACGCTGCCAACTGGGGGCCAAATGGTCAAACAGATAGCCCTGGAGGGACAGTCCCCAGTCCACCCACAGCAATATGACATGAGGTGTGGTCCTAACATTAGCCCCCATTGGCTCATGGCCGATGTTCTTGAGCTGTCCTTGGGGGGGCGGGGGGCACGTGTAATGGGGCGAAGCATCAGGGCTCGTCTTGACACGGCTTCGAGATACACAGAGGCTACATATGCTTTGTGTCCTAGCACTGTACTGTATAAACACCACTGTGGGCCTGCCCGGATGGCTCAGTGGGTGCAGGCACGTGCCGCGCACACTTGTCCACAGCGTGAGTTTGGTTTCCAGAACCCACAGAATGTGGGAGGAGAGACCCAACCTGTCAGAGTTGTCTTCCAGCCTCCACATACACACCGTGGCATGTGCCCATGGATACTGTCCACATACACACACACACACACACACACACACACACACACACACACACACTAATAAAAAATGCCACTATGGTGAGTAGCCTTAGCACTGGTAGAATGCCTCAAGATGCATGAGGGCTGCTGGGTACCAGCTTTAGGGCTCTGGGCCTATGGGCCTGGCAGGCCTGACCTACAGTGCCTTCCAGACCTCCAGCCCTTCTCCCTGGCCTAGAAGAGTCTATGGTGTCAGCAGTAGGTCTAACCAGTGCCCACTGTTCGCTTAGTGCCACAGAGCAGGGTGTGGTCCCATCCCCTCTTTCAGAGGGAGGGGCCATGGGAAGAGGGTGACGGGGGAGAGGCCTGGCCCTGAAGGATGCTGGAGTAACCCCCTGCTGTTGCCTTTCAGCTGGAGGCCCGGACCGCACTCCCAGATGGCACGGTAAGCATCCTCCCTCCATACAGCTGTCAGAGGTTAGCGTGGGGAACAGCCCAGGAAGGCCAGAACTGGAGTCGACGCCCCCGGCTCCTCACTGTTACCTGAAGTCCAGGACCGAATGTGTGTGGCTGGCTGACAATAGTTCTGTGCGGTACAAAGACCGATCCACAGTCGCGCTGCTTTCATTTTGGAATGAGGGGATTTGTTAAGTATATGACAAACCAAAGTAAAAGAATAATTAACAGAGGACAGACAGATAAAGGGTCATCAAGTTGGGTACTCAAAATGCTTGGCAGAAACTGGCTGGGCAATCGGCTGGAGTTCCCGGTTGAGCTTTCTCCCCATGGCTGAGCTTATGCCTGAACTTCCCACAGCTTCTCGATACCAATGCGGGCACGTTTATGCCGTGGGATAAACAATGGTCACGTTGGTTGGAAATGGTCCTCCTTCTAGCTGTGCCCAAGGGCACTCTGGGGCTCTTCTGTCATTTTCTTCCCTCCATGCCACACACTTCACTAACCCACCTCCAGACGACAGACCTTGGAGGATACTTGGGGACAAACATACTTGGATGTGAAATAGGGGGGAGGGGACCACTTCAGAGCCAGGCTTTCCGTGAGCTCAAATGACATGTGACAATTGACTAAGACAATGCAGGTGTGGCCTTCGCTTCAACAGCAGCCAGGAACCCTAAAGAGGCTGTGAGGAGTCAAGACTCTCTTCTAAGCTCCCACCTGGCTCATGCCTGAACCCCAGAGCTCAGGGTACAGCTCTCTTCTTATCACCTCAGGCCCGGCCCTGTCCCGCCTGAGCGCACCGAGTAGGCCCAGGAAGGGACTATCCCAGGTGAAGAGCTACCCCAGGCTCTTGTACACTTCTGTTCTCAGGGCAACGAGGTAGCTGCCTTGCAGCCCCCACTAGTGCAGCTTCACGAGGGCAGTCCGTATACCCGGCGGGAACACTCCTACTCCACAGCGCGGCCCTGGCGGGCAGATGCCATTTTGGCCAACCCACCACGACTGCCAGACCCACAGCCTTACCCCGGGGTTCCGCACCACCACGGCTCCTACGTGTACCTGCCACCCGTCCACCCCACCATCTTGCCTGCCCACAACCACCAGGACTTCCAGCCAGTGGTGAGTGTCCAGGATTGAGGAGTACGTGTCCACCCAGCCCCGGTCCTGGCAGGACAGAGGGAATCACCCCAGAGCTGCCAGGGAGTGTACTGTGGACAAGGATCTCTGAGGAGGTTTCTGACTGATATGGACTGCTCATCATGTAGGCCAGGGACTTGCCTCCTCTCTGGTGGTGAAGTCACACTTAGGAGCCAGGCTCTGCTAGTTAATCCTTAATGTGACAGAGAAGAGAGCACTGGATTGGGGCATGCGCTAGGCTGCTACCCTACACAGGAGGATGGGGCAAACCAAAGGATGGGGCTCTGCAGCCAGGGTTGGGCAAGCTGAGCTGGACCCTGTCTCTGCTTGCAGGAAAGCGTATCAGGGGCCATCTTAGGGGGCTGCTAGAACCACAGTGGCTGAGAGTCGCCTCCGATGCCCTGGGCTGACGGGCTTGAAGGTTGCCGCTGAAGTTACTGGTATCAGCCCTCAGTGGGCTCTGCGTGTGTCCTGCAGAGATGCAGCCTAGAGGCTAGAACATTACATGGGACACTGCCTAACCATGTGATTGTATGTGACCTTTCCGGCAGCTCCACCTGGTGGCACTGAACAGCCCGCTGTCGGGTGGCATGCGTGGCATCCGTGGCGCCGACTTCCAGTGCTTCCAGCAGGCCCGAGCCGTGAGGCTCTCTGGCACCTACCGTGCCTTCCTGTCCTCCAGGCTGCAGGATCTCTACAGCATTGTTCGCCGTGCTGACCGTGGGTCGGTGCCCATCGTCAACCTGAAGGTAGGTGGAGCTTGTCCTGAGGATCCTGAGAGGCCAAAAGTATGTCCCAGATGTACCCACGCCCTGGTCTCAAGAGTAGGGCTTAAGATGGTCCCAACTTTCCCCACATGGCCTCCCTTATCCCAGAAACCCCCTGGCTCTCTCTGGTTCCTGTCCCAGGGATGTTTCTAAAGGTTCTGTGATGTTGCCCACATAGCCCAAAGTGGCCTGGAACCATTTCTGTGTGCCACCTACCCTGGCCCCTCTACCACAGGCCCTGGGTCATTCTGATGAAAAGAGCTGGCATTCTCCGTGCCTTGGCAACAATATTTCCCAGAACCAATGGTGCAGACTCACAGACCCCAGGGTCTCAGGCTTGGGAGGGTACCTACAGGTTTCACCCACTGTGACGGGCCCTACCTTGGAGAAGGCGCTCTCTGTGCCTCAAGCCAGTGTGTTCCTTGATATCTTGTGATCTCCCTGATGTTCACTCCTCTGACCTGATGTGATAGATGACTGAAGTCCCTGCTGTGTCTCCTGTAGGACGAGGTGCTGTCTCCCAGTTGGGATGCCCTGTTTTCTGGCACCCAGGGTCAACTGCAGCCTGGGGCCCGCATCTTCTCTTTTGACGGCAGAGATGTCCTGAGACACCCGGCCTGGTAGGTCCCCCAGCATTAGATGTGGCAAGACCTCAATCTCTAGACTGACACGGTCTATGCATAAAACCACAGAACCTAGAACATGAGAATGGATGGTGACAGTATGTTTAAGCACAGGGCAGTCAGCACCCTCAAAACCATAGCAGGTTTGCTCATCGCCTGTAGCTACCTAACTCGACTGCTCAGCCATGTGAATGCATCAGAAATGTACAAATCCTGCAAGGTAGCTCCTGGCATAGCCCTTGGTTGCAGAATGCATCTGAAATGTTGACCATCAGCTAGACTGTCCTCAGAATGGCGTCATACCCAGTGTCTGTGCACTTGGCAGCTGAGACACCTGGTCTAGCGACCCTGCACCCTGAAGAATGGCCTGAGGAGCTCGGCAAATGTGTCCCTGGGCTGTACTTGGGTCCCGACCATCTGCTTTCCCCAAGAGGCACCCATGAGGGCCCTTCGGGCCCCTTCATAGCTGCTGGCAGACCTGAATGACTAAGCCCTGGCAAGAGAGCTTACTCCTAGCATTTATCAAGCAAGGCTTCCAGAAGCCAGTTCTAATCAGCGGGGGGAAAGGCCAGCCCAGAGATCCCCTTCCTTCCGCAGGTCCACTGAGAGGTGGACCTAGGTTCTGCAAGTCACAGGGGCTGTCCCACTGTCCTACTGTCCCCAAAGACAGCAGCTGGCCTCCATCTTCTCTGCCCTAGAGGTATGGAGGCAGCTGACAGTCTGTCTGTCTTGCAGGCCTCAGAAGAGTGTATGGCATGGCTCAGACCCCAGCGGGCGCAGGCTGATGGAGAGCTACTGTGAGACGTGGCGAACAGAAGCGACCGGGGCCACGGGTCAGGCCTCCTCGCTGCTCTCAGGCAGGCTCCTGGAACAGAAAGCTGCGAGCTGCCAGAACACCTACATTGTCCTGTGCATTGAGAATAGCTTCATGACTTCTTTCTCTAAGTAGGGCCTCTGCCAGCTGGAATGGTGGACAGAGGTGGTGCGAAGGTTGGACACAGTGCAGGGGACATCTAGCTAGTGCCCGGGGCCTGGCTGGGATACGCTCCTGTATAGTTCACGTTTTTATGTAATCCTCAAGAAATAAAAGGAAGCCAAAGAGTATATTTTTTTAAACACTTAAAATAGACTTCCTGCCCTTCCTCTCCCGCTAGAACTGGCCGGCCTGTGTCACAGTTCATTCCTCCGTGCTTGGTAGGGCTTCCTGGTGAAGCCAGACCATAGCTGTTGTCTCAGCAGGAGGCCAACCTAGAGTTGTTGCCTAAGACCCGCAGACTTTCTCTAGCCTGCCATCTTTCTGTGAACAGACCCTTCATAGAGCAGTCACCTAGAGAGAGTGCTGGGAACAGACCCTGGGACAGCACAGGGCACTGGATTCTCCCCTCACCACCCTGGGGCTGTGCCAGTAGCACAGGCAGGCACCTGCGCACCCAGATGGGAACTGGGACCGTCCAGGCTGAGCACTGGGAACCATCTCCCTGCCTCCCCCACTCTCCAGCAACACCGCTCGCTGCCAGAGCAGGTTTCCAACCTTCCCACTCAACTGTGACCGTTCCCTGTCACTGTCTGCAGAGGCCAGAAGTGTGGCCAGACTTAGCCTGTGTGCTCCTTTTGCCAAGGCCCAGACATGGCATGGGGCCCACCCTCAGGCTTGTCTCTCAGACTGGCCTCTCTGGTGACCCATGAGATCCCAGCCAAGCCTTGGTCCTTGCTGTGTCCTTGCTCGCCAGCCGGAAGTCCACGAATCTCACAGCAGCAGCACAAAGCACTCGTCCTAGGAGGGGGCTTGTGTGCTCAGGGCCACAAGTGGCCAGTCATAGCCACTGTGCCTGCCTCAAGCTCTGTTGTCCAAGGATTGGGACAAATCCAGTGGGGCTAGTTCTGTAACAATGTGTGATATGAAGCCACTTCAAAGAGGCACCAAATAAAAATGACCTTTTATACAGAGACTTGGTTTATAAGCTGCCTTCCCTGTAAAAAGGACAAGTCATCCGAAACGAGACCTGGGAGCTCCTGTCCGTGCACTTCCCAGGTGGAGTCCTGCTAAGGGAGCACAGGTGAGCATGGAGACAGTCATGTATACGTGGGTGCAGGCCTGTATGCACATGTATGAACAAGCAAACACAGACATGCATGTGTATGACTACACTGGTGTACGTGGTCAGGTGTGATCGTGCACAGGTTTGGACGGGTATTCAGGGACTGCACAGTTATGCACAAATGTACGTGGCCACTCAGGTGTATGAACAAAAGTATGGTACAATACCTAGGCACACAGACAGATGTCTGTGTGTGCAGGTATGCAGAGGCACATGTGGGTGTATTTATATAAAAGGTATGCAGCAATGCACACTAAGTGACCTCAAAATCAGGTAGAAGGGGCCCAGAGAGATGATGGCTCAGCGTATTTGCAAGGGACCTGCGTTCAGTTCCCAGCACCCACATGGCAACTTAAAACCATTCATAACTCCAGTTTCAGGGGATCTGACACCCTTTTCTGGCTCCCCCAGTCACCAGGCACATGTGTGATGCACATACATGCAAACACTCGTGAAAAGAAAAGTCTCCAAAGTTTTAGAGGATCTGTTCACTCGGTGCCAGACCTACCATTTGCATTCGCTACCACGTCCTGGCTGTGGCTACCCTAAGCGACTGTGCCTGCTGAACCTCTTTGTGTACCCAAAGCCTCTAGCCAAGTAAAGAACAGCTGGTGGCTGACAGAAGGGTCCAGGAGCAGAGAGGTGACTGTCCTCAGCCAGCACAGGTTGCCAGGTGAGGGCTATAGAGCTGCAGGCCAGGGTGGGCAGGTACTGTGGGGGAGAGGCTCTAGTACCAGCAAGTCCCATCTGTGGCACTGGGTGCCAAAGAAGGCATGACCGTTAGGGTGGGCTGGCACAGCAGGGGTGGCTGCACACCATCTCTGCCTGTGACAAAGGACGAGCCTTGTGTCCTACAAGATCCCCAAGCCCAGAAGGGATGGAGCTAGCCCTCCCCAGAAAGGCTTCAGGGTGCCGTGGATGCAGTAAGCCCAGTGTCCTCTAACTGACATGAGTTAGGTGTCAGGCCAGCCCCTTCTGCAGCCTCTTCCTCAGCCCAGGGTCCTCAGGATGACCTGCAGGTAGGTCCTGAGGCACAACTGAGGCTCAGCAGCCCCACCTTGACTTGTTTGCTTTCTGCTGAGCTAGTTACCTGTTACTGCAATCCCAGAGGGATACTGCTTGCGTGTCCTATGGATGTCAGATCTTGCACTGGGGCTGGAGGTCAACTCAAAGACAGCAAAGGCCTAGTTCCTGTTGTGCATCCTCAATTTGGCTAAGTATGTACCAGGCCAGGCCAGCAACAGAATGAGAAACGTCCTCCTGGGGTATGGTTAAAATATCAGAAAAAGTGCTCATGCCGCTACTTCATCAGATAGGAAAGTCCCTAGTGCCCTTCCGACGCCAGCATTCCACAACAGAAAGGCCAAATGTAGTTCTCCATTTTAATGTCAGGGTTTTTGTTTTGTTTAAAAAAGACCAGATAATCATTCAGACAAGCACCTCTGATGATGGAGGTGTGACAGCTTAGTCAGGAGCCCAAGACAGGCATCTCCCCCACATAGAAGGGCCAGCACCCTGCAGGATCAGCCTTGGCTGGTCTGGGCTGCTTCAATAGCCCTTGGGTCAGTCATGATTTGTTCTGAGCCTCCCCGGGCTGAGGGCAGACTGGCCTGGTGGGCATAGCTGACCCCAACCCAGGCTCACAGTGGCCTGGCATGTCATTCACCAGGCCAGGTGGCTGCCCTGACTGTCCGAAGCAGGCTCTGGCCACGGCCATGGCCATGAAGTAGGCTGGGTTTAGAGCCCTCACAGGCTACCAGGACAAGCTATTGGCCCTCAGTTAAAGCAGGTGGCCCCTGTAGCCTGAGGGCCCCTGAGAGACAACAGCAGGGCCCCACACGTCTTGGGCACTAGAACTCAAGACAGTATAGACTGGGAGTCTTGTCTGCAGCATCAGGCCCAGCTTTGTTCAGGATGGAGTGCACCTGGGAAAGGCTGCCCCTGAGTCAGGAATCTGCCTGCTAAACTGGGACGAGGCTAGGAAGGTCAAGATGGGTTCAGGCCTTGGCTTCGGCTCTCAAGTCTGCCATGCTGTCTTTCTTGTCATCCTCTGACAGCAGCGGTGGCGCTGAGGGCTGCAGTCCCCTTAGGCCTCCGTCCTGCCCGCTTAGCACCTGCACAGAATTCTCCAAGGGACTCCTCAGCTCCTGGGCCAAGGGCAGGGGCTGGTGGCGACCTCGTCGGCAGTACCTCAAGCCATCCAGCCCGGCTCCCGCAAAGCAGATGATGGACAGCACCAGGAAGTACACGAAGTAGACAAGGAACTGAAAGAGAGTTTAGGTGACCTCAAGGTTTCCATCCATCCCCACCTTTGCCCTACCCAGTGAATCCTGAGGTTCTTCATCATCCAACACCTGGGTGGCCGGAGGATACTGAGCAGTCACAAGCCTTGCCCAGGGGTAGACCCCAAGATGGCTCGTTCCCTCTTTCTCTCAATGCATGGTAAACCACAAAAGGGGTACTTAACACTTCCCCAAAGATCCCCAGAGAACCCAGCATGTGTTTGGCATCTGTGTGGTCCACCAGAGCTGGTCCTCAGGCTCTTTTCATGGAACTGGCTTCCACAGCTGCCAGGAGGGCACTGGGACAATGGCCCAGGGCTTCTAGGCCCTGGCTACAGTCAAGACTGGGCACGGCCTCGAGCCAGCACTGCACAGTACTGGCCAAGAGGGACCAGGCAGTCACAGGTCATGCCCCTTCCCGAAGGACCAGATCTGTTTCCCCCCAGAGCAGAAACTGATAACTGCCAAATGTACAGTCCCAGTGGAGGCAGGTGAGCTTCCTGAAGCCCCCTGAGACCCTTTCAGAAAAGATCACATTTAAAGCAAACTCAGAAATGACCGTTAGGGACTCTGGTTACCAAGAAGGCATAGTTGACATCCTTTTCCCATTTTTCTCCTGTGCCAGTCAAATCCCTGAATGCTGTGGACAACGCCTGCTGGGGCTGGGTGGAGAGCAGTGTCAGCCAGTCAGACCTCAGGACCCATTAAAGGAGTGGCAAGTGCCGGGCTTCCCCCACCCCCTTCATGGATCTTGGAATTGAAGCAGCCAAAAGTCCAACACAGATATAGCCCAGCTAGAGAGCAGATATCTGCCACTCAAGTTCCTCTGAAAGGACCTAAGCGGGGAGGACCTTTTAGGTGGGGCCAGGCAAGACTCATGGCGAGAAATTTTAACCCGACACTATGACAGCGACCCCATGTCTTACCCTCACCAAGTCAGCAGCAACCATTTGGAGTGACCGGACCTGCCACATGCATGCACCTGGAGGTTGTGAGGTAGCCACTGCCTTCTGCGTCAAAGGGGACCACGCTGACTTTACGCCACTGAGCAGAAATTACATACCCTGCCCACCAAGGGGCCCACCATGGGAGACAGAAATCTTACTCTACCCAAAGGGCATGGCACTCTATCCTGCCAGAGGTGTGAGGGTAAGACTTTAGACCCTTAGCTTCAACACACCAACACCGAGAGGCCTTTGACTCCTGCTGCGCTCACCACACCAAAGCTGCTGACCTCACGCCAAGGCCTCTGGACAACTAAAGCCAGTCAGCAGGCATTGAAATCACCCCAGAAGAACTTCAGAGCAACCACCACGAAATGGGTCAGCAAGCACCAATACTCCAGAAATACAGAAAGGCGGACAGTATCACAAGAAATAAGGGATGAAAGAGACAGACCAAAGAAGCTAACCAAGAGGAATTGATGAAAGATAGGCCTGTGAAACAAGGGGAGACCAAGGCAAACAAGCCCTTCCCATCCCTTGATCTCTGTTCTTGCTTCCGTTTTTGTTTTTTTTTTTTTTTAAAGATGGGCTCACAATATAGTTTAGGTAGCCTGGAACTACCTGGTGGTCCTTCTGCCTCAGCTCCCCGAGTGCTGAAAATTCACCGCACACCTGGCTTGTATTTTCTAAGTTATGTCTGATGGTGAAAATGGAATTGATTAACACTGTCTTACGTGACTCTCAAGGCATACGGGCAAAACGTCAGGGCAGTCGGCAATCAGACCACTGCTGGCCTCTATAGACAGATGGGTAGTACAAACTAAATTCTGGTTTTGCAAGTAAGTCCAAGGGAAAACAAAAACACAAATTAAAGCAACCCGTGAGGATGGCTAATAGGAAAAATAACATCAAGTGCTGATGAAGATCTGGGGAAATGGGTTCTGGATACCCTGTTCGTGGGATGGCAATGGCCCCCACTGGGAACCCACAGCTCCACTTCTGGGCTATCATCCAGGAGAACTAAAAACCTACATTCACACAGAATCTGGGAAAGAGCTTGTAAAATCCAAGGACTGAACACAGCCCACAGTGCTTCCGAAGCTCAGCAGCTGTCCCAGGCACCTGCCCTTGTCCCAGAAGAGAAGCCAAGAGCACATGTGGGAGGATGGAGCTACCTCCAGAGAACACCTATACCCACCGTTTAAGGGACGGCTATGAAAGGATCCCAAGGGTGCCTGAGGGAATGACACTGAGCTAAAGAACTGGGACCCCGAATCTCTACACAGTTTCTTAAACTGGATGTGAATGAAGCCACATTTAAATACCCAGCAAATGTAGGCTGGCCCCTAGCCACAGTCCCCTAGTTCTACCCTGGTTCTTAGTCGTCTGCCTCTGCTTCTTCTGCCTGGACTCCTGCCCCTGCCTATCTCCTGACAGGATGAAGCATGAGAGGGAAGAGCGGAAGCCTGCATCTCTTTCGACTATGAGCAAAATGCAATGCTTGAAAGAAAACCGGCCAGAGAAAAATCAGTACACATCTTGCAATTTGACTGGTTAAAGCAGGAACTAAAGCCAGAATGCCCCTCATCCCTCAGGGGGTCCCTGGATATAGTCTCTGCCAATGAACAGGACTGACCAAGGACTCGTCCTTCCTACTGAACCTCCTACCCAATTCTCTGAGGCTCACTAAATAGGGGGCCTTCGCAGGGCAGCTGGGATGGAGCCGGGTGGGTGGGGGCACAGGTGTCAAGAAGGGGAACACAGGAGCAGCACTAGTCTCTAAAGAGTCCCTCAGGCTCCACTCGTTTGGCTCCCAAAGGCTGAACAAGAGGAAGCTTTGGAGGGAGAAGTGTGTGGGGGGGGGGGAAGACAGAGGGAGCACAGTAGCTTTAGAGGTCAGTGACTAAATGACAAATCGCATGTTAAGCACAGTATAGCTGGGGCCAATCAGGTTCCCCCTTGGGTTTCTCTGGACAGGCCCCCTCCACTTTAGAAGCCACTATTCTTCTGAGGACACAGTTTCCTCTGGGGGCAACCTATACCCTTCAAGCCAGTGAACTGTTCCCTGCCCCCCGCTCCCCCTTACCCGTCCACCCCCCCGCCCCACCTTACCCAGTACTGTGAGTCAACCCAAGGCACCTGTGTACCCAAGAGCAGCTGGGCAGTGATGAGGAGTTATGTACCCTGCTTGGTCTGGATCTACCATTCAATGGGACAGGCAAGACTTGCTGGTTCTGGGTTCGGCCTGCAGGGGGGTATGCGCTGAAGGGCTTTGCCAGGCTAGAGGCTAGTTCAGTCTTTAAATGACAAGATTCTGGCATCCTCACTCCACAGATCGTACCAGCCAGCTTCCCAGGGAGATGGGCTGTTCCTGCATGCGCCAATACCCACTCCGCTTGCCTCCTCGCTGGCCAGCCAGACTTAACACTAAGCTTCAGTGACAGGCCTGGACCAACTAGTGACCCGCCGAGGGTCAGCACTCCCCCATGGCACACACCAGCCTGCAGGCCTGCAGCCCAGGGAAACCTAAAGGAAGACTAAAGGCTTTCACAGGTTGCTTAGGATACTGCCTAGCCATAGCCCGGGGGCAGTCACCCAGGAACTTCGTTACCACCCCTCTCTCTATCAAGCCTGTTTGGTACCTTGGCCGGTACCTCCATCACACTGTCCCCATCATAGAATAGTCAGGGGCTTTCTCTGATGCAAGAAAAGCTCTGGTTGTGGTGAGAAAACTGAGGGTACCCCAAGAGGGGCCAGCAGGCCAATGCCAGCTGATGCCAACTCCAACCAAGGGGTTCTGCCTAGCTCCCTTCTGGACGTGAACACCTAAGACATCAACCAATCTGGACTTAAGGCCATCAGGTCTTGACAACCACAAACAGGGACATGAGACAAAAGGTAAGGAGCTGTGACAGTATTAGCTCCGTGACACAGGCCCAGGTGAGGACATACTAGGTCTGGTGAGGACTCCTCAGAGACAGCTGGCAACTTAGCTAACCTTGGGGGCCTCGACACTCAGGGGCTCCAAGTCCCAGAAGTCCAACCTTGTCCCGGACAGGAGCAGGGTAGGGGCACATGGATAGGTAAAGGTGGCTAACCTCACCATATCAGGTGCCCCTGGAAACGTAAGCCAGTCCCAATGGTCTCACTCCCTGCTCCGAATGTGGGCCATACTCTCTGTACTTAAGTGACAATGGATCTGTGGTCTGTGGTCCCTGAGAATGGAACACAGAAATGACCACAGGCTTCCCTACCCGAAAGACATGAGACTGAAGTTGGGGCTTACCTGTGAGTCAACCGAGAGGCCCAGACCCCGCTTGTCAGAGACAATAAGTGTGATGGAAGTCTTGAGCGCAGTGGCAAGAAACGTGTTGATCCCGAAGACCAATGCACAGAGCTCTTTAGACAGGGAAGATGCAATCTGAAAACTTTGAGGATTAAAAAAAAAAAAATACTGTGATCAAACTCACTGAGTAGGACAGGGGAAAGAACAGAAGCAGATGCCATTAATCACAGCACAGGAGGCAGAAGAGGTGAACTTGTGACCCCAGGCCAGTCTGGTCTATATAGTGAGAGCCCATCTAATTAAACAAACAAATGAACAACAACAACAAACACAGCCGTGAAGACTTCTGTATCTACCTGGAGATACAGGAAAGTATCAAGTCGTACAACCCCATCAACCAGACTCAGCTAAGCTCCCAGTTACAGAACTCCAAGATCCCCATCCACAGCCCCACCAGCATACCATGCACAGCACTGCCCCCCCCAACCTGCACCCACCAACCAATAGCAGCTGACCTGGGGCAGGAATGGGGCTCAGGACAGGTCTATAAAGACACTGATCCAGAAGACTGAGAACAGGAAGGTGCTCTCCAATCAGAGGGCGGGAGAAAGTGACCAGATAATGCGAGAAGGCAATCCAAGTAGGGAGAAAGGCAGGGTTGGGAAGCCCTGGGAGGTAGGAAGGAGCCAAAGTCTTCCCAGAAGAGGTCGAGAATGGGCAAGCCCCAGAAGGCTCGTGTCCGTGTGTGGTGTGAGCACGTTTGTGGGTCATGCACAGTGCAAGTGCTAAGGAATATGGTGCGTGAAATCTGTAATATATATGTACACGTAGCACGTGCTGATCCGAGACCATGTACAGTGTAAACACGGATCATGCAGTATCAGTGCCCATGTCATGGATGGTGTGTGTGTGCCATCTGTCTGCGGATGGGAGTCCACGTCTGTGCCTGTATTTTCTTTTAGACAACGTCTCACAAGGTCTCTCCGGCTGGTCTCCGCCTGCCTCTGCCTCCTGAGTTCTGGGATGAAAGACGTGTGCCGACACAGCCAGCAATGTGTTTGATGCCTCCGTGTCATGAGCCGAGTGTGTCTTCACACATGATAGTGTGTGCTCCCTCAGTTCCTGCCAGGACAGGGTCTCAAGAAAAGCATGCTAGTGCAATCTGGAGAGGTCACCTGCTGGCAGTATTCGGCAACTTTGAAGCAGTGTTCAGAGGACCTGGGAGAGCAAGTAGGAACAAGTCCAGAAAAGGGAGGAGGCCAGAAGCAGCAAGGAGATGCTAGTGAAAGAAGTGTAAGAAGGGTCCCCAAGGTGAGGATAGGGGACAACAGGAGATGATGGGAGGCGGATGCTGGTCAAGTTCAGGTAGTCTGGGGGCAGCAACCCTACAGAGAGGTTCAGGAAGGACTGGAGGAGTTGGGATGGAACTGGGGGAGGTAGGAGGTTGCGGGGCCCAGGGAAGCACAGCCAAGAGTGTCTAGACAGGTCGGGCCTCTCACACTGCCTTGTGCTTCCCGACAGAACCTTCCAGAGGCCCCTCCCCATACCGTCCCACTCACGTGGCAATGGGCACAAGGAACTGGTAGGCCCCACGGAAAAGCACGAAGGCCACGTAGCATATCCAGATGTTCCCAACTGACATACAGAAAACCAGCCCAGCCTGGATGGCTATAACAACTGCGATGACCAGCTTTGACCACAGAGCCCAGCGAATCTTCACGAAACCGGCGTAGAAGGACATGATGGCGCCTGGAGGTAAGAGGCATCAGTCATGGCTGAGCTTGGGCATGCTGAACCATGGGAAAGATGGCTAGGGATTCAGGCTGAGTTAGGGTGGCTCTGGAACAGAGGCAGGGGAGGGCAAGGGATAGGGCGGCCTTTGTTGGTGGTCCAGCCCAGGGCAAGGGGTAGGGCCAGACAACAGGCCTCCCTGAGCCAGCTGGGAAGGGCAAGAGGCCTCCAGGGCATACTCAGCAGGGTGGAGGCGGCATCCACGGCACCGTTGTAGGTGACACTGCTGTCAGTTATTTTCCACAGGACATGTACATAGTAGGTGACCAGGTAGTAGCCTGCAGAGTTGAAGATCCACCAGAGGCACCAGAGGCGCAGCTGTGGCTGCCACGCATCGTGCACCAGTTCACTTAGCATGCGCACCAGGAAGGAGTCCCTGCAAGCGGCCAGCACACGCCCGAGTTTCCCGGGCTCTGGTCGGTCAGGGCCCGGGTGCATCTGGTCCAGCTCACAGGGCAAAGCTCCGTGGACAAGCGCACTGCGGTTGAAAAAGAGGCTGCGCTTAGGACGCTTTAGAAAGAGGGAGAGGCCTAGGCTGAAGACGATAAAGCCCAGGGAGATGTAGTTGAGAGTCCTGAGGGAAATTTGTCCCAGGGTGACCAGCACCTGGCCCAACACGGAGCTGATGAAGACTCCCAGCAGCACTGCTGTCCGAGAGTAGCTGGCCATGCGCTGGTAGCGGGAGGGGTGCACCAGGGAGAAGATGTAAGAGGAGTAGGCGATGCGTGCGGCCATGGTGACGCTGTAGAAGAATTCCATGAGTTGCATGTGGATTACGGAGCTGCCTAGCAGCAGCAACAGCCACACGCACACGAAGCTCAGGCATTGCAGGACCAGGACCGGCTTGTACCGCAGGTAGTCGGTGAGCAGGAAGATTGGCACCAGCACAGCCAGGTGGGAGTAGGGAAGCACCGGGATGATCTCGTTGGTCAGCTGTGGATGGGCGGGCGCCGGTTATTAGGGATTCCAGTTGCTCCACTGGGCTCAGCAACGTGAACACTCGAGAGTGTGCCTTGCCCCTCTCTCCCTGGTCACCACTATGTGTACCTTCCACTGCCTCCCTGCAGATGTCCACATCTGGCTGCTCAGGATTCAAGGGAGCCTCAGGATGGAGAAACCAAGCTAGTCTCCAGCCCAAGAAACTACAGGCCCTAGGTGCAACTCGCAGAAGGCTGGCAGACTGGGGGGGAAGCCACCGTTCATTACACGTGGCTCACCTTACCCCAGGATTTCTGACTTGCACTCATCTTAATTAAGCCCACATAGAAAACAGCACAATGGCCAGTAAACACCGACACGGATTTCTTCTGTCCTTGTTATAGGAGGAAAAGCAAGAGAATGGTAATGGGTGAGCATGGGGAGCAGGGGAGGGAAGGAAGGCCATGGGGAGGACAAGGCCATCCCTCTACCCTACCCCTCAGGGCCGAACTGGGCATGCTGCCTGCAGAATCCAACCTTCACAGCATTCATTAAGGTGCAGTAGCTACCCTCACCTGGCTCCTGCTGTGGCGCATGGAGGAGGAGCTCCCTGCTGCAGGGACGGAGGGCCAGAAGGTACTGCCTCAGACTCCTCTTTGCTGCCCAGGGAGGTGCCAGGGCCCACTGGCAATTCGAGCAGGCCAAGCCAGGTGCTTCAGCCAACCGTCCCCGCCCCCATGCTCTACAGGGAAATCCTCCATCCCAGTGAGGCTCAAATGGGCCTCCTGAGCTCTCTCCCTGGGAGGCAGACATGTCTGTGGCCTCCTCCCAGGCCAGGATGAGTTTCACTTTACTGGCTCCGACTTGGGAAGGACTTTTTTTTTGTTGTTGTTTTTTAGTTGTATTATAATGGAAGCCTCATAGGCAAGCTTGTTCCCGGAAATGTGATGGTGGACAGCACCCCTTCACCAAAAGCAAAGAGGCTACGAACCAGTGATTGAGGAAAGGCAACACCCTTCATCTTTCTTTGTCTGACCCTATCTTATACAACATGAGGTGCAAGTTCAAAAATAAACCACCTCCATGCCTGCTTGGATTTAAGCTTATTAGCAGAGTTTCAATAGGACCCTCTGTCTCCATGGCTGAATAAAAAGGAAATGCCTTCAATAATCTCTTTACATAAACAGCTAAGTCCCTCCTGGTGGCAGGTGCCAAGCAAGGTGGGGCGTGGCTGGGCACGAGCTTTCTCACTGGGACAGCAGATGAGCTGCCTGGCAGTAGAAGCCAGCGCTCCTTCATTTGCATTCTTCCTCAGTTCCCTAGGCAGGCACAGGATCCCTCGCTATGGAACCCAATGAAGAAGTATCTTGCTGGATTAATACCAAGGCTCTCTGTGTGCTCATCGCAGCAGGTGGAGGTTAGGGTGGAACCAAGCCTCCATCCAACCGGCTCTCTCTGGCCCCTGCAATCTCCAACAGCCTCAGCTGGCCATACAGCAAACTAAGACGGAACCCCTAGAGACCGTGCCGCTGCTCCCCTACCCTCCGAGTAGCCCCCAAACATGCCTGCTTCTCTGTGAAGTTGTGATATTCCAGGAGGTAGGGTGTGATGAAGCTCTCCCCAGGACGCAACTGTGCCATGAATCCAAAGAAGCAGAGATAGAACACTAGGCACCGCCATGACTGAAGCTCACGGTCTTGCCTGGGCTCTTCACCTGCCTGCTTTTCTGCCATCTGGCCGGTGGGCACCATGTTGCCCAGGTCCTCATGGGACCTGGTGACCAAAGATGACACTCCACCTGAAAGAAAAAGCCGAGAGTCTGGTGTCAGTGAGGGTGTCCATAGGTACCCCTCCTTTCAGTTGAGACACAGTGTTAGCCTTGGGTGACTACAGGCTCCAGACTCAAATCTTCAACCTACTCTGCCAATCTGAGAACTGCCAGGATCCCAATTCCTCAGACCAGGCCAGGACTGAAGACTCCAGGAGTCTTCAAGCACACCAAAGCCTCAGCCATATGGGCCTATTTACATATTAATCAAAGTCACATTAGCTGATTACCTTACTTCATTAAATAAATTAATACACTTGAAATTCAGTTTTGGAGCCAGGCGGCGATGGTGCATGCCTTTAATCCTGGTACTAGGGAGGCAGAGTCAGGCAGATATCTGAGTTCGAGGTCAGCCTGGCTTACAGAATGAGTTCCAGGACAGTTAGGCTATAAAAAGAAACCCTGTCTTGATTAATTAAGGGTTGGGAACACCTCAGACTCATTTCAAGGTCTTAGCAGCCTGTGGACCCACACAGGTCTTAAAAGCTGGCCTCAGCTGGTTGTTGAGAGCTACTGCTCTAGCGGCATCCTACGTGTAGAAAGGACAAAAGGAAGATGCTTTGCTAGGCTAGGACACCTGGTCTGCATAAGACACAACATGGAGGTAAGTGGGAGCAGCTTCGAGTACACACATCTGACATGGACTCCCCCCAAAGCATGGGAAGGCAGCTCTAAAGGACACTTGTCATGGGAAGGAAGGACACTGGGAGAGGCAGGTGTCCTCCAGGAGCTGACAGCCACCACGGGCAAGACAAAGCAAGCTCCGAGAAGGGTTCAAGGACAGAGGGGGAGCTGACTTGAGGGACTCCACAGTTCTCTCTAGGACAAAGCCTGAGGAGGAGGTGGATCTGATGTGCAGAGGACCACAGACCTCCTCCCAAGGGTAGGTCAAGTCACAGGGGGACCCGTCCAGCTGCTGACCCTCTGACCTCACGCCGTGCAGTCTCAAGGAACTCTTGAGTATTTGTGGTATGTGTGAGAACTAAGCTGCTCAGTGTGTTTCTGTCTCATGATTCTGTCCTGGTCACAGGCTACTCTGGTATAGGTAGGTATGCCAATCATCCTTGCTAACAGAAAGGCAGGATCTGTGCCCACTCAACAGGACCCAAGTTACCTGCCTCATTCGTACATCCACTCTAGGTCATAGGTTCATGTGTTTCGGGCTTTTGTATGGGACACTGGTGTAAATCAAAAGGGAGCTGCCAGAGAGAAATGTGCCCACTCCTGGAGTGCAGGGTCTAGTGGGGCTAAGACAGGTTGGGGCTGTGTGGTGAAGAGCAGCCCCAAGGGTGGAGGGGGAGCCATACTGATGGCCTGCCCTCTACAACAGGCTCTATGCTGTCCCCTCCGTTCCTCATGACAGCCTGCTCCAGGAAGTGTCTGTAAATCTGGACTAAGTTAACCCCTGAGCAGGGGGCAAAGAAAACTCCCCAGATGTAAGAACTTTGGGGACCCTATGTTGAGATCTATGAAACACAGAGGCTTAAGAAGGAGGCTCAGTGTATGTTCTCCAGGCACACCATGGATTTCCCAGGATCCCTTCCTGTTAAGTCCGGTTTCTGAAGGCTGGAGAGAAAGGTCCTGAGTTCAATTCCCAGCAACCACATGGTGGCTCACAACCATCTATGAGATCTGGTGCCCTCTTCTGGCTTGCAGGTATACAGGCAGGCAGAACATAAATAAATCAATAAACAAACAAACAAAAGGTCCTGTCCCTTGAGACTAGAGAGAAGCAGGGTTAACAGCTGGGTACCTAAAGAAGCAGGGGTTTGTGGACTTGTTGGGAGCTGCAAGGAAGGGTGAGCCAGGGTGCAGAATTCCAGAGGTCTAGAAGGAAGGAATGTCCTGGAAGATGCTAGGGCAGCACATGTCCCAGAAGAGCCACAGGGCCTGGGATAGGGCCCACATTCTCATGAGAACGTAAACAAGCAGACAGGCAGGGGGTCTGGCTGGAGAAAGCACAAACACAAGCTACACCACCTCAGCTGGACCAACTTCTGAGCTCTGTTTTGCTTAGTCTCACTTTTCAAAACTTCCTCAGAGCTACACAAACAGCCGGTTAGGACACAGCACCCAGGAGGTCCAGCTATGGCACTGACCCCTCCAGAGAGGCCAAGATGGGCGCAGGCAGAGCTGGCCCTTCCCCAACACATATTGCTAGAGCTAGCCTGGTCGAGCAATTGTTCATGGCAAATTGCATTTGCCCAACTAGAGCGCCCCCCCCAGGCTAAGTGGTGGCAAGGAATGCAGCTAAGCCCAAGATTCTGTGCCTTGTATGAGGTTAGGAAACCCCAGGAGCTGGCCCTCATCTGAAAGGTTCATCCCCAGGGGTAGGAGCAGCACCTTCACTTGGTGTCTGTTGGAATCCAGGGAGAGCAGAAGTTTTAAGACACCAGGACAAAGCAAACTCTTCATTATTCTGTATGTGTACCCGCCACCCCAGACTCCTGAGGCTTCTACGCCCAGGGAACTGTACTTTTCCACCCCAGTGAGAGTTCATCATGGCCCTGCCCGGGGGCCAATCTGAAGATCTGGCTTCAGTCCCTCAGCAGATGTCCCACCACGGCTGGAAGGGCCACTCGAAGACCTCCTGGAGCCCACATGACATGAACATCTAGGATTATCTGACTGGCAGGGCTGTCCTACCCTGACCAGTACTCAGATGGGCAAGTGGCTCTTCTAGTGCTCAAGGACCAGGAAATGGACTCCTGTTTGTCCTCTGAGGTTCCGAAAACTCCATCCGCCCACCCACCCAGCCTACACTCTGGTCTGTTCAAGGGGACTGGATTATGTCACAAGATGCTCTGCAATCTTAGTGCCAAGGCTCAGGAGGCTAGCCCAAGCTCCTGGGATGAGGGTCCAGGTACGTGCTCACAGGGGACACATGGGCATCTCCTATTCTCTGGGGTAACCACATTCCAAATCTACAGTCCATTAGCTGATGCATTTCCCTTGCCTAGCTCATGCCTTCCACCATAAATGCCAGTTCAACAGAAAAACCTGGTTACCTGGGGACTGGAAATTAGGGACTGGCTCCTGGTAATCCACAAGCTCCAGGAACACCCTCTGGCTCGGCCCTGATCTAAACCAGTATGTACCGCTTGGTCCTGAACAAATAGTATGATAACCTTTCCTTCTAAGGAAGGAAGCCTAGCGACCCTCCTAGGAGGTAGAGACAGGAACAGCCAGGCCCTCTGGCCTCCTCCAGCTGCCTCTGCTCCAACTTGAAACATTTTGCAAAGACCTGCCCGCCCCAGTTCCAGAACAGCAGGCACAGCTCTGCCACCCTCCCACAGGTTTCGCTGACAAGCACTGGGTGGACTCAGGGTTGAGGGTTTAGAAATTCATACTTCCTAGAACTTCTAGGTCCGGAGCCGACAACTCCAGTGTCTCCCGGGAAAGCCATAGGCCAGCCAGAGGAAAAGCTGCTACTCAGGACAGCCGCCATAGTCCGGGGTCCTCCTCAAAATCTATCTTCCACAGTGTCACTGAGGGAAAAACAGGCTCTTGTTTGGCACAGCCTCTCGTTGACTGGGGCAGGTGCCTTCAGCCTGGATTCTCAGCACCTTCAGGAATGAATGCCAAGGTAGCTCCAGGCTCTTACCTGGGCAGAGACTGCCCTTGTCAATTCAGTCCACTCTACGGAGGTAACATCATTCCCACCCAGTCACCGGGTCCAGCTCTGATACAACGTCCTCCTTCTCCACGGCACAGCTCAGGCTGCTCTTCCTAACGAAGCTGAGCTCGTCTCGGCTCCGCTCAGCCAAAACCCATTCTGAGAGGAAAGATGGGGGAGTCCTGTCGCCTGCTTAGTTCAAGAACCTGAGTGTGAAAGTTCATGGCACGCAGGCCTCACAGTTGACCCTGGACTCCATACGCTCCAAGCACGGTGTTGCTTCATAACTTGCAACCTCTCTCAGGCAATTGAAAGAAATCCTTGACAGCCCAAGAGGGTTATGGTGGGGAGGAGGTGGGAAGGGCACTACATAGTCCTTTCTGATCAAACTAGTAGCTTCATGAGAGATGGGGCGGGAGGTAGGAACCGTGAAATACTTCACAAAAGAATCTTTCCACGGCACCCCAAAATCAAAGCAGAAGGGAACAACACCTTCATTTGGTCTTAAAGCAGGAACGCTCCTTTCAATTTTGGAATGCCCGAGTTAGGGAAGGGGGAGAACAAACACTGTATCTTTGCCACAGGCTCAGGCGCCCAGATCAACCTCTTTCCTCAGCCCACTCAAATCACAGGCCTCTCTGAAGGAGAGAAGTGGGCAGGTGCCAAGGCAGTGCCTTGTTGGGGGCCACATTTGGGTCCCCAGGCCTGGAGGATGCATGAGGCTTGGCAAAGTCAGGGAGTCTCTGTTCTGCTGAGCCCATCTGGGGAGCTCTGGAGTCCTTAAGCCTCCCCGGGAGCAGGCTACTTCCTTACAGTCAGGCAAGCAACTGTAAGCCACGAGACAACTCCCTTCTGCCCTGCTTAGGTTCCAACCGGCATACTGAAGACAGGAAGTTTGGGGCTGGGCACAGGCACAGGGTGAGGAGTCTCATGAATATGATTTATGCCCTGAGTACTCGCCGAGGCTCTTCAAGAGTTTTCAATGGGAATGTGGACTGAGCCCTGGGAATCATTCCTGTCGGAGAGTTGCTGGAAGGACTGGCTGCCGGCAGCTGTGCAAGCTCCAGATACCACTTGTTCCAAAGGGAAGTTGTTAAGAGGTATCCGGGTGCCTACAAGCTCTGGGCTGAACAATGAGACTTGGAGGCGCGCCACGCACGGGGCGTGGGCAGTGGGGTTTCCTTGCTGGTGACACGTGCTCTAAGGCGGCTGGGGCAGACGCACGTGGTGATTCCTGACCTGAGGAAGGTGCTTCGAAGGCAAAAGAACTCCGTTCCAGAGGTACGTAGGACAAGGAGAGAAATGGCGCTCAGAGGTCCTACGAGGCAGCCTGGGGAATTACTCTTCGTGAAGGTTCTGCAACTATGCGCCCAGGGTGCCTGCCAGCACTCAGACCGTTGCTCGGAGGTCCCTGACACCCCACAGACACCGGCCCGAGTCTCGCACCCACCCTACTGCTCCTACGCATCCCCAAGACTTCTGCGGGTCTTCTACCCAGCAGATCCTGCGTGCGCCTTCCACTCACCCCACGGGCTCTCGGGCACTATCTGCCCGGAGCTCCCCAGTCGCACCAGGGTCACCCTGGTACTCTGTAGAGTAGAACTCAGCCCGAGTCCAGCTTTCATCGTGAGGACGCCGGAAGGACCAGAACCGCCCCTTGCACTCTTCCACGCCTCCCCAGGCACTCACAGATTAGATCCGTGCCCCCCGTTCCGCGCCCCACAGGCCCGTACCTGGCTCAGCCGACAGCCGGCGTGCAGGGTCGCGCACACGCAGACTACAACACCCACAAACCCACGCGTAGGCCCAAGGTCCGCATGAAGGGGCGTGGTCACCTAAATTAGTCACGCCCCCGAAGGCGTGGCCATCGTGGTGGACTGCGGGGCGCAGCCGCGGAACTTCAGGAGGGCGGGGCAGACACCTGGCTACACCCGCAGCGACTCCCGCATGCGCCCTCGACACTTCACGATTAGTCACTGCCTGGGTCATGTGGTTCTCCGAGACGAGGAGAATCCGCCTGCGCCCTCAGCCCGCACGTCTCTAGATTTTAGGCCCCCTTCAGTAGGCTCTCCCTGTGTTCCCGCTCCCGTGCTTGCTCCCCAAGCCGACCCTCTCGGTCCCCTGCCCCTCTATAAGCGTCCCTTCTTCCCCGCCCTCCTCCACCCCGGCTGCTCTTCACCTGTCCCCTGGGCCCCGCAGCCCGCTTTTCCCGCCTGAGCCCCTTTGTGAGGCCCCTACCCGGCCGGCGCTGGATCGGGTCGCAGGTCACAGCAGACTGCCTGATCTGACTGAGCGCGGAGCACAGAGGTGACCGCCGAGGATCGAGGCCCCTCCCCGGGTCCGCCCCTGACCCCTGCTGGCCTGCAGAAGTCTGCGCGGGCTCTTACGGGCTCGTCTGAAAACACGCGGCCTGTGCCCACCTAGAGCAGTCCAGAGGCCAAGGCATAGGCCAGCCACGGAATGCGAGCTAGAGTTGCACTGCCTGCGACAGCTGTGCACGCCCCTCGTTTGGGTATCAGCGACTTTGGGTTCTAAGGACGCCGATGGACTGCGCTTGGCTATGCAAGGAGCCCCTGGGCGTGCGTGAGCTCGGGAACACACACACACCTCCTCAATCGACAGAGACAGAAGGCTGACCTAAGTGTTTTTAGGCCTCCCCAACCCCCTCCACCTCCTACTCCCACAGATCCTTACCCGGTTTCCAGCAGGGATGCTAAGCTGAAGCTCAGCAGGTGGAATGGAAGGCTGCTGGCAGCTTGGGGTGGGGTGGAACGGGGCGGGGCTCCCCGAAGCCGGCCTCTTTCCTCCGGATGGGTTTTGGTGGAGCACTTGTGCAGGGCAGGGGTCACAGCCTTCGCTTCCCTGTGAGGCAGGCCCAGAACCATGCACACTAGGAGGGAAGTGAACAAATGGGGAGGAGCATGGGTCCAAAGAGAAATGACTGACCCGCAACTCCGGCGTAAAAGCTCCCAAGGTGTAGGGAGGGTAGGTGCAGGGGTCACCTATAGGTCACCTGTAGGGGAGTTCCTGTAGGGAACCCAGATCTGAATGCCCGGCCTCCACACCAGCACTGCTCCTCCCCCAGCCTATGGTAGCAATGCTCCTCTGAACTTGGGCCCTCAGTGGCGCGTGCAAAGACCCTGACTACCTACCTACTCACTGGACAAGAGGAACTCAACCCCTGAGCTCCCGGGCACTGCCTGAGAAGCTAGAGTGCTTCTTCTCGGGCCAGAGCTGCGGAAAGCAGGGATGGCATGCATCAGGAGGTGTTTGAGAGCCCTAAAGCCTCCTCTCTGGATGTTGGCAGCATGGATGCGTGTGCTCTTGGGGCTGCCTGCTGCCCCACCTCCTGATGTGCAGGATGGAATCAGTCTTAATCCTGCCTGGAAAATCTGCAGAACCCTTGCAAGGCCTTAGAAGCAACTGAACTGAGTATGTGGCAAAGAGGAGCTTGCAAGAACCCGCACTGTGGGCAAGGCAGAGAACGAGGTGTAAAGGAAGAGTGTGACTATCTGTGTGCCAGACGGGTCTGTGCCCCTACGGGGCTCAGTGGGAGCACCCTACCAGAGAATCAGGTAGGGGTGCCCAATCCACATGGCCCATATGTCATAGAAGAGTAGGCATTCCAACAAGCTCGGCATATATTCCAGGGCACTGGGCTTCCTTCGGTTCTGTCTCTCGCTGGGTTAGGATTTCTGAAGGAGATGCCCCTTGCGGGTTCTCTGGGGGTGGAATGGCCCCTGGGTCGTCTGGAGACAACCACTTAGGGAAGAACAAGGAAATCTCCAGAATGGCTGCCAAGATACCAGATGCTGGCACTGGGAGGGCTCCTTATGAACCCTCCCAGAGGGCATGGTCGTTTGGCCTGAAATGTACAGATCCACAGATAGATGGGGGAGCTCTCAAGCTCAGTCCCATATAGCATCAAGTCCTTGAAGAAGATCCCGACTTTGCTCCCCAATAATACCATTACTACATCCAGAGAACACGTGTTCTTTGCCCATCCACATCATCTAGAGCAGTGGCTCTCAACCTTCCCAGTGCTGCCTTCCTTTAACACAGTTCCTCATGCGGTGGTGACCCCAACCATAAAATTATTTTTGTTGCTACTTTATAACTGTAATAATTTTGATACTGTTGTGTCTTGTATGCAAACATCTGTGTTTTCTGATGGTCTCAGGTGCCCTAGAGGAGTCATGACCCACAGCCAGTCTGCTAACATCGTGCCTTTCCTGTCCGTTTCCCAGCAGATCTGTGAGAGGCAAGGCTGCCTGGTGGGAGCTGGGCCCTGAGGTTAGGAACAAGCCACCAACTCAGGGGTGCTTCGGGGGAACCCTTTGCTCCAAGCCTCTCACCAGTGAGACAGAGTGGCACTTCTGCTATGCAGAGGAGTCTGAAGAATAAGATGGGCATTGGACACCATCCTAGCCCCAGGCTGGTAGGGCTGGAGAAAAGTCCAGCCGCCACTTCCTCCCACAATTCAAGTTCACTTGAAAGCACTAAGGCCCAGGTGGGACAGATCCAGGAAGCAAAAGAACAGAATGGGATTTCTGTGCCATAACCATTCCATCCAGGGAGCCCAGCAACTGTGTGCTAATGGCTCCAAAGTCCATATTGTTCCAGATCAAGAACCTGGCCCCTGTGATCTGCCTGGCCTTTTCCCAGCTCCAGAAAAGCCAGGCCTCACATCTCCACAGCATCAGGGCCAGGTCAGGATCTATTGGGAAGACTGGTCTCCAAGAGCCCACTTTCCTCCATGAGCAGCAAGAGGTATCCCAACACACAGTGGAAATCTAGGTGTGTACTGGCGGGAGAAGGCATCCGTCTCAGTCTGAACCATGGCCTTCCCTCAACAAGCTGTGCTGGCTAGTCTGTGTCAACTTGATACAAGCTAGATTCATTGGGGGAAAGGGGGTCTCAATTCCCTAAGATCCAGCTGTAAGGCAATTTCTTAATGAGTGATTTATGGGGGAAGGCCTAGCCCATTATGGGTGGTGCCATCCCTGGGCAGGTGGTCCTGGGCTTTATAAGAAAGCAAGCAGGCTAATCAAGCCATGGGAACAACCCAGTGAGCAGCACCCCTCCATGGCCTCTGCATCAGCTCCTGCCTCCAGGTTCCTGCCCTGAGTTCCTGTCCTGGCTTTCTTCAGTGAGGAACAGTGATATGGAAGTGAAAGCCAGCTAAACCTTTTCATGGTGTATTACTACAGCAGTAGAACCCCTAAGACAAAGATCTTAGCCCTCACACCAGGTATATGACCTGACCCTAGGAGATCCACCTGTTTCTAGCCCAGCCTGGAAGATATCATACCTCTGGGTAGGAAATTTACTGAAGGGACATTTTCTTGGTGGTCTTCTATAAGGATCCTGTAGGCTCCACCTTTTAGCTGCCCAGCTCCTGGCCAGGCCCCTCAGGTTCAGAAGGACACACTCTGAAGCATCGAGGATCATTTATTCCCTCCAAGAATAGGGCTTTCAGGATAGGAGGACTTAGTACCAAAGGGCAATCAGATGGCCTTCAGCCAGAGGAAGAGAGGAGCATGAAGAAGAGGTGAGTCCCACTGCCATGCAGGGTTGGGGGGCAGTGGTCAGTTTTCAACATATCCAGCGAAGGGGGAGGAGCTATGTTGACCATCCAACCTTGGCGGAGTGAACTCTGGACCTGAAGCGGGAAGTCAAGGGAGTGTATGGAAAAAAAAAGAGAACAGAGGAGGGAGGGGTTTGGGAGGTGTCCATAGCAAAGGGGCCTGGTGCTGTGTGCTAGAGGAACACTATACCATCCCAGTGGCCAGGGTGAGTCCTGAGCACGTTCAAGGCAATAGGATGTGTTTACCCCTTCTCTACAGCCCCTGCTTCAGTGACATTTGGCTGCTGAAGCAAGGCTGAAACTGGCACACGGAGGAAGTGGAGACACAGGTCTGCAGGCCTAGAATGGTGCTTTTACCAGCACTGACATGGGCATGGATGGGGACAGGAGTGTAGGCAGCTGGTTTCCTCTGTCTGGAAGCCCTACTGTCACTTCCGGGTCAGTGAGAGCTGCAGAACCAGTGTTTGAGAGGCCATGGTAGAACAGAGACTTCCCAAGCTCAGCCCTGGAGGATCTGCCACTGTGGATGGTGTCTCTCCTCCCCAGGGTTCTCCGGATGGTTCCAAGTGGACATCTCAAGAGAGCTACTGCCGACCTGCAGTCCGCAGGTCCCCTTAGGTAGCTTCTGCTCTCGCACAAGTCTGGATGTTTTCAGTGGAAAGGAAAGGCATCTGCTAGGCCCTGTCAGCAAGAAAATAGAGCATAGCAGGCAGCCTGGTGAGGGGCCTGCTACACACGAACACACACACACACACACACACACACACACACACACACACACACACACACACTTCTGTAGTCCTGAAAGGTGAAGAGTAGGAATCTTATGGCCCCTGGGCCCATGGCGAGTGTCCTTGGTATCATTTCAGGTTTTAGCATTATGGCCCCTGGGCCCATGGCGAGTGTCCTTGGTATCATTTCAGGTTTTAGCAGCCAGGCTGGCCTGGACAGTACTTTGCTCCACCCTTTTCCTAGACAGCATTCTTGCATGTCATTTCTAGCCAGTGTCTACCCAGGGAGAAGGTGAGAGGGAACTAAAGTAGCAGGTCTTTTCAGAGCGCAGTCCTTCCCCTCAGGCAGGCACTCTTTTGAACTTGTGTTTCTCTTGTTATCATCCCTTGCTCTCTTCCCTCATTCTGTGGCTGCCTGCGCCCAGGCACTTCTTAAGGTGCTGAGTCAAGTTGGTTTCTGCTGGTGTCATCCTTATACTCCTCAGAGCCACCTGAGCTGGGAGGGGTTAACTGGGAAACCATTAGTAATGTGTCTGTGCCGGGCTGCTCATAACATATGTTCTCTGACTCTTTTTCACCATGTGGAGTTCAAGTGTGTCCTCATCGTACCGAAAATGAAGGCACCTGCATCCATTCATCCATCCATCCCTCCATCCCGTATGAGAATGGAATGGTTTATTAGGGGCCAGTATGACATACCATGGCTCAGGAATGCAGATTCTGGTTGCTCTGAATAATGTGTTCTAACATAGAAGTAGTTGCATAAACTTTTATGCTCACAGGAAAAAAAAAAAAAGGCACAAATCAAGGCATTTTCCAAGCCCATTGGTGGAAACATTAGGTAGGCAGGTTACAGACAAGCAGGGGAGTCTCTGCTACAGGCTTCAGATGCTATCCCAGGATATTCTTAGCTTTGCGGTTGGCAGAAGCTAACAAACAAAAAGTTCACAGTTAACCTCTGTCACACAGTGAGTTCAAGGCCAGTCTAGGGCCACACAAATTTCCATCTTGAAAAAAATTTTGGCACAAAGAGATCACAGGACAGGAAGAGTATCTAAAGAGGACGGACTCTCTGAGAAAGTGTCTTGCTGAGGAAAGAGAGTCTTGGGAACTCAAGGAGTTCAAGAACGAATGAGGTCCCATGGGAACAGAGTGGACCCTAGGAATGAGGGGATTTTTTGACAGGAGCTTGCCTAATTTGCCTGAGACACTGGATGGCATCTCCAGCCCTGTGAGGGAAAAAAAAAATAATCCATTTGTATTTACGAATACAACTTCAAATGGGCCACATGCCTGAATTAAAAGATAACACCATTTAAGTTTGCTTTGTTAAGCTTCAATTCCCTAGCCAGTTTCTGGTGTTTGCCTGCTGGTAGTTGTGAACTAGAAAGCTTGGGTGTGGCCCATTTCCATCATCACAAGAGTCCAGTAGTAGTCTGCGTGCCATCTTATCACTGTATAGAAGTCCTGAGACAATTAGCTGATCAATACGAGAGGTTTATCTTACCTGACAGTCACTCGGCCTCATTGATTTGGGCCTATAGTGCAGCAGAGAATCATGGCAGGAGCTGCTCTTCACAACTGCTGACTGTGACATTGTAGTTAGGAAGCAGTAAGAAAACAGGAAAAGGCTGGATCTCATAGTCCCCTTCAAGGTCAAGGTCAGACACTCTGCAACCTAAAGACATCCCACTAGGTCCCATCCTTTAAAAATACCATCAACAGCCTGGCACAGTGGTGCCCACCTTCCACCCAGATCTTAGGAGACAGAGGCAGGTGGATGTCTGTGAGTTTCTGGTCTACAAAGTGAGTTCCAAGACAGCCAAGGCTTATCAGAAAGACCCTGCCTCAAAAAAAAAAAA